TAGTTCCTGGAATGTCCTTCTTTCCCTGTGTATGGGAGTGGATGGTGGGTATGATCACTGTGCTGTGGATGGAAGCTTTGAAGGAACTGATGGCTGAGGAGTGGCATGGAAGGAAAGAATGGGGAAAACGATCTGCTGTTTGCCACTAAGCATCTCTGACTTGCAAGAGTACGCTGCAGACTAAAGACGTTTCTTATAAAACAACAAACCTCCTCCTTGTATCACTCCTGCTCATGATTCCTGGCAGTACTGGGCCAGCCACACCGGGTGCATTTGGTTTTTTCCTCCTTATTTCTGTGTGGCTGACATGCAGGGGAAGAAAGTGAAACTTGTGATCCAGAGCTGGAGTTTCATTATCCACAGACCTTTTCTGCATCACCTGCCTCTTCAGCTGGACATGTGAACGATGATGGTGCAGATGCTGCTGCTACTGCAGGGGTCCCACCTGTTTTATTACCCTGCTCACCACACCCCAGCACGGAGGGACAGCCAGAGAGGCGCCATGTACAGAATCGCATCTATTTCTGCTTTGTTTTCTGACTCAGAACCCTGCCCCTGATGACTATGACAACAACAACAAAAAAAGGGCAAATGCATTTTTTACATTTCTTGATAATTTCCAAAGCAATGTATCATTGCTTTCTTTAGACTGACGCCAATATAACAGTTGTATGGGTCTCAGCCAGGCTCCTGTGTCTTTTCTGCCTGATAGTTTCAGATTGCTGTACGAAATGTATGCGTGTTTGCACACAGACACAATCATACAAGGTGACGGCACCACAAGCCCATGGGGTTGTCACCTATTTCACAGATGAATTTGGAAGCCTTGCTTCATATGCATGGATGAGAACCCCAAACTGCTGGTCCAGTGAGCTGAACTGAAGCAGCCCAACTGAGACAGCACTGAGTATCCTAAGATACATGCACGGTCCTGTTGTGACTGTCCCCATGGCAAGGGTGGGGTGGGGGACAGGAACACTGAATGATGAATTTGGAGCACGATAAAGTTGATAAAATAAGTAGAATCCAGTCGGGGTCTGCTGGTAGTGGTGAGGTTTTATCTGTTCCCATAATTAAAACTATAGTGCATATAAAGAAAATATTCCAGGCTGTCATAAGCCCCAGTTCCCATCTTGCTAACACAAGGCTGGAGAGCATGAGGATGCAACAAAGGTGGAAAACAGAGCTGAGTCCAGAAAAGTTTTATGACATCGTTTCTCCATTTATTTTCTTCCCCAAAGAAGCCTAAGAAATATAAATTCCAACCCGCATAGGGTTTCTTTTTTTCTTCTTTTTAAATGTTGCAAAGTTCTCAAAGTTTTATCCCGGGTTAGCAAGCCCAGAGATCCAGGTTTCCAATGGGATCTCAGTGTTGCTGCTTTGTTTCTGGACAGCTGAATCCACTATGACCTTGCTGCGAAGCACCCTGAAATGGTGCGGGCAAGGGCAGAAGCACAGCCGAGAAAGAGATGTCCTGTACTGCAGACAGACTGGGCTCCAACTGCTTTCAGAGAAGTCAGTAGCATCACACTGGAATGAAAAAAAAGCCCACCTCTTCTGATATAAACTTTAGTGTTCTAGTTAAACCCTCCATTCTTCCCCTGCCCCTTACAAGGGGCTTGACTTAACTGTTAACACTTGAGCATAAAAAACAGGCCTTCTTTAGGGGCATAGGACTCGACTCAGTTGCCTAAATGTGGGCATCTACTGCCACTTGAGATCCCCTACAGTACTCTGCCTGGCTGGCAGCAGCTGGTCCAGAAAGGCACAACTCTTCCCCAGGGCTGGTGCTACAGCTGCTGGCCCCATCTGGATGGCAGAGATCTCAGGTGGCAGGAGACAATTAAGCAACTTAATCAAGTCCCTTTCTAAAGGGCTACTGGAGAGGAGCAGCACCAATGACTGATGTAATAAGGGAATCTTCATTAGCATTACCAAGGGCTTAGTTAGGCATGACTGGGAGCTGGTCTCCACACTCCCATGCGGTTGCTTTCCTACCCCACCTCATGCAGACAGCCTCCACTCCTACAGCCTGAAGTTCACAGCGCTCTGCCCAGCCTTTATGTCAGGCCAGGGTTAGCAGCTGCATCCCAGGCCCAGCAGAGCGGGGCAAGCCCAGGCAAGAGCAGGCAACACTCCACCCAACAACAGGTTTTTTTTCTGCCAGCCTTCAAACAACCCCTTTCCAAAGCATTTTTCTATTCAAGACAGACCCACAAACTCAGACACTATTCAGCAGACTCATCATTTGGATGATTAAATACATGTGTTTTTCTGTTGCATTTTGCCCAGCCAGGCAAAATGCAAGTTCCTTCCCAAACAGGCTGCAATGCTTTTAGTATTTTAAGCATCTGAAGCCAGTCTGCTCCCATTGCAAGCACCTAGGTAGATTGGCAGCCAATACTATCTAAACATCATCAACTTTATGATTGCTCATAGAAGTGATTGTTTCAGGCTTATTCAGCCTTGACAGTTTGAATGTGGGAAGGTTTCAGAGGAGGAACGAGATTGTAAATATCTCTTTGACAAACATTGCTGCATCACACACAAAAAATAAAAGGGGGAGATACTTTTAAAACTGCCTTAAAAATCAATTCTGAATGATGAAATCTCCCTCCAAACAATTGCCGCTTGGTAGAGCAGGGCATAAGTTGCTTTGGGTGAATTCTGGCAAGAAGTGGTTGGCATCTAGACCAGTTTCAGCAGTAAAAGGTTTTAGGAGCTGATCTCACACCCAGTCTGAACTCACATCAGCGCCAGTGACCGAGCACTGCAGGATCAAAACTACATAAGATCTGTGGGGTACCTTTATCTGGCCTGCAGCTGCATGGTTTGGGCCTGGCCTGGCAAGGTACTGCATACCTGTGTTTCCCGGTGGCTTCAGGGAAGATGGGGCTCCTCAGCACCTCTTACATTCAGGCCCTGGAGCACCATTTCCTGCTCTGATCATCAGCTATAAATGTTGATAAATATAAGTGTTTTGCCTTCATTCGAATTGCCCAGAGCTGTAAAATGACCTCTCTCAAGTATAAATCAGTCCAGACATAAACCTCCTCTCTCACTTTTCCCTGCCCACCCTCCCTTGCACCTCCACCCAAGCCCTTTCCAACCTCAGTTCTTTACCTCCTTCCACAATTTTATATCTAGTTTTCATGAACCCACAGAAATGCTTTTGTAAATAATGCTGTACAGTTTGTAATCGTCATGTAAGCCTGTCATCAGTGCCAGAGTCCGTCTTGCCCTCTCGCACGTTTTAAAGTCAACAGAGGAAAGTTAGAGTGAATGGCCCGCCAGTGAGCTATAGGGTCATCTCCGTGTGGGACAAATGTATATTCCTGTAAGATTGCATTTTTATCTAAGGAATGATGTTATTTTAAAATTGCTAATAAATTTCTAAACAATGTCCAGATTTGTTTAATAGCGTAAATGTTATCACAACCCCTTTGACATTGCTCCCTTACCTCAGCAGCGGCTGAAAAATAAGGCAGCTTCCTACAGCCCCTTACTTCAAACTAGCAGTCCCGCTGCCATTGGTGGGGGTTTAAGGGGCTTGACCATCTTGGACAGTCACAGCCTGCCCTGTCAAACAGTAACTTAGGAAATCCAGCCACTCTCTGTACTGTTGTCACTACAGCAATTCTGCTGTGTCATGACAGCCAAAGTGTGACTCATGCATAACCACACACTTCACATTTTCTCCACAGGATTCTTTTTTACCAAGCATATGCAACAAAAAAAATGAATGCCTGCAGCCTAAATACAGCATAATCAGTACATACATAGGCCATGAAGCTAATGGGACAATAATAAGTAGCATACTATACATTTAGTTCTCAATGGAACAAATTGTTCTACCATGGTTATCAAGTAATTATGCTGCAATGCCAGCTGAGCAGTGTATTTCCTGTCGCAGCACTATAAATCATAATGCACTCAGTCCAAGTATGTTGGTGTAAGATTGGGTAAAATAACACCTCAAGAAAACAGTGGTTTTCTTCAATTATGTGTATATATACACATGTATTTTCCCTGACTTGCATGCAAAAGTCAGAACCGCAGGCATTGCTGCTGCTATTAACGGTGCCACAAGATGGTAAAACCCAGGAGGCGGTTAAACCCTGTGGATGTCATCGGCATGAGGCTTCGGAATGGCAGAGCAAGCCACCAGAAACCTCGTTATCTCCAGGCTCAGACCAGCCCTCAGTTAGACAGCTGCCACCACAAAACCACACAAAACCGCTGTGTGTCAGTTAAAGCCCGGTAAACGGTTCAGCTTTGCTGAAGAGCTCACTGAGCTGGAAACCCAGCCAAGCTCCCTGTGGCCAGGCTACAGCTTTGTGTGAAAACCATAGCCAGTAACGGGTGAAAGCCGGCTGTGGGTGTGCTGTGGTGTGAAGAATGGTGCGAAACCCTGAGTGAAACCTATGAGGCAGCTGAAACGCCGTGATGATCAGGGATAAGTAAAAGGTTTGCACAGCCCTCGGTGAACTGGATGCATTTAGAATAGCCCCACAACAGGAAAGATACAATATACACATATAATGCTTGTTACTGGGTAGTTGCAGACACTGCTGATGTTGGTTTACCATGCTTAACGCTATTTACCCGAAGCTAGAGGTGTGCACTGGGGAGGATGAGCACTCAGACCTCTCAAACCCCTCCGTTTACTCGTGAAAACGAAGAACTAAGACAAACCCCGGGTAAAACCCGGTTCGGCTCCTTTGCCCCGACCTCTGCCCTCAGGGCCCTCTCCAACGAGACTGCAACTCCCGTCAGGAGACACCCGGGGCTCAGAGTCAACCGGAAAAAGAGCTGAAAGCAGGCCGCTGCCGGGACCCAACCGAGGCGAGCCGAGCCGAGCCCAGCCCAGCCCAGCCCAGCCCAACCCCGCTCCCCTCCCCTCCCAGACGCAATCACCAGACCGAATCGTCGCCGCGGTGGGCGGGCTCTGGGGGTGTTGCCGCCCTGCCCGTCGCTCCGCCCCGCGGCGGCCCCTCCTCAGGTGAGGGCTGGCACCGCTTCGCGCCCAGGTCGGAGCCCGGAAGCCTCGAGGCCGTGGCGGCAGCGGACGGGCGATGGAAGGCTCGGAGCTGCGGTGGTGGCTGCCCCTGCTGCTCCTCTTCGTCTTCAGCATCCCGCCCAACGCCGTGGCCCTGCGGCTGCTGCTGAGTGCCGCGCCGCCTTTCACCTGCTCCCAGCCGGTAAGCGTGGCGGAGTCGGGAGCGCCGGGAGCTCGGGGGTGCAGGCTGGCCGGCAAGTGGCGGGTCCGGGCACGGCGCTGGCGGCTTCCCCGTGGTGCTCGCAGAGGGCGGGACTCGGCCGCAAGGCTGGCGAGGCGGCGGATTTCCCCGCGCCGCCGTGTCCCGCGCCGCCAGCGGTCGCTACCCGCCGGTGTGCCGGGGGGCGGGCACCGCGCGGCCCGGACGGGGAAGAAGAGCCGGCTGGGAAGTCGGGATGAGGGAGCGGCTGTCCCGCTGTAGGGGTGCGGGACACAGCGGGGTCTCCTTCTCCCGGGACATGGATTGTAGGGCGGGGAGCCCGGGCCCGTTCGGTTCCCTCCCGGGCGGGTAGCAGCAAGGGCTGTGGGGCAGGCGACCCGGAGCCGCCTCACTCCCGGCCTTGGCCCTGCGTTCGCAGGCAGAGCCTTGGGCGGGTGAGCTCTGACTCCTTCCCTCCCTCCTCCGTCCGTCCATCGCGGAGCTGGCGGTGAGCGCCGGTCCGAAGCGGTGCCTGGAGGCGGGGGGGGGGAGCTGCCTGGGAAGGAGGTGCCCGCGGACGGGACTCCTCTGAGCTCTCGGCCCGAGGTCGGTGACTCTTTGGTCCTGCTGCTGACCTCATCCGAACACTGTGCTGCCCGGGTAACCCCGGGTTCTTGGCTTTGTACGGTTTGGGGTGTTGATTGTGGTTGATGTGGGCTGTATGTATCAAAGCAACTGTATGTAGCGCACAGCTGTGTTAACTTCATGTTAAACCCTAGTTCTAAATACTGCAGAATTAGCCTGGCCGTGTTGATGACTGCCAGGAAGCGCCAGTCACTAACATCTGTGAGGGACCGCGGCTGGAGCTGGGCTCGCTAAAACTGCCTGAAGTTACTGCACAGGATGTGAGTCTTTGCTAATAGCTGAGGTTGCCTAATATCCTCAATGTTTTAACCTGTTCCTTGCAGCTGAGGTTTTTTAGGAGGAAGCAGGGAATCTCTGCTGAAGGAGCAGGTAAACAAACATTACATGTACTTGAAATCTTGTAGACAGGTTGCTGGTTGTCTTTTCTTCCTGGAAAACCAGCCAGAGAGGATATAGATTGAGAGGTGCAGATGTAGTGTCTGTAAAAATTGAACTAAGCAACCTGAGCTAACTTTGGCACCCCAAAGTATTAACAACTAGCTGGTCTCTCTTCTTCTGAGGGGGTTGTTTTGGTTTTGTTTGGGGTATTTTGTTTGTTTAGTGGGGGCTCTTTTGTTGTCTAAGGCACAGGTAAAGAGTATATAGAAGGGGGAAGACATCTGGCTTTGCTTTTTGTTTCTGTTAGCAGCAGTGGTGTATGTATAAACAAGATAGTGGGCAGCTGTCTTCTAAGCTAGGCGGTTTTATATGTCATAATGCACTCTCAGCAGTCTAGCAAAGCAGCCAGTCAGATGGGGCTGTAGACATACATTAGCCTAAATGTGTCCTTTGGGATGAAAACTTCTATAATCTTTTCCTGAACACATTTCCTAGCCTTTGTCTATGCTGCCTCCTTTCCTAATGTTTGATCATACGCTTACCCCTGTTTCACCTGACCTCTGCCCTGCTGCCTTCATTCCTATTTAAAAAGACCCAAGAAAAAGGACCACTTCTGCTGTTTTACTTTAGGCTGGGCATTGTGGAGTTACAAAATGCAGAATCTTAGCAAAGGGGAAAGAGAACATTACAATATTGCTTAGGCATTTAACAAAACCATGGGTAGCCCAAACATTTAGTCACACAGAGCTTGAGAGTAATACATTGTAGAGTTTGAGTCCTTGGATGCTTGGGCTTTGATTGACTTTGTCTTCTGGGCTCTACCTCTGGCTTTTTAAGGAACTTGAACCATGATAACATGGTGAGGGGTTCACCAGTAGACAATTGACTTTGACCGAGGAAGTGTGTTGCTCACACTCTGGGTGTGTTTGTAGATCAGTGAATGTTTAAGCCTGCACTTTGGCTTTTTCTGTCAATGAGCCATTTTCTCAAATGCAAACAGTATTATGAAAAATGAGCTGGCTTAAACCCACAAGCAGCCTCTTCAGCAGCAGTTGTGAAGATGCTGACTCAAACAGGAAAAAGTACTATCAACTGAAGTTAGGACAGTTGAAAACAATATCCTCTTCCCTTTCTGTCAGTTGCACTGTTTTTGGAGGATGATTCAGTAACCCTTCCAGTGAGTGACAGCAGCGTGGTTCAAAAAGGAAGCTGTTGCTGAGCACGGTTGGTGAGACCCACTTCCTTTTTTTAGCCCACCACACTCATGCTGCTGTTGCTGAGCTTCAGAGTAGGTCAGGGCAAGCAACAGTGGGTTTTTTTTCAGCAAGCCTTTCATGTGGTGGAGGCTGTTCTGAAGATGGAGTGGTGGAGGGAAAGTGTCATACTGATATCGGTAGACACCTGTAAATTGTGAAAGTAAAACTAAAGGCTCGTTAATAGCTTATCCTGTTAAAATACCAACAAATGCACTTAGTGGGCCTTATTCACCACCACTCCATCCAGTCTGCTCAGCTGTAAGGCTCAGTAGCACAGCTACAAATATGGTTCCTTTTAGTAACTATTATTTGAATATGTCATCTGCAGGGAGGTAGGCTTTGTGTTTTGTTGTTTTGGGGTTGTTTTTCTGCATACAGGGTAGAACAATCCCACAGCTTAAATATCCATCTGGTTGCTCACCATTAAGTCTTTAATCACTGTGTGCAGTCACTGGGCCATAACTGTTTCACTACATGGCGTGCTTCGGTGTCCTGGAGGAATGCACTGTTTATAACCCTGCCGTCTTTAAGGAGCTGGATAGGTGTACATAGTTTGGCTTTGAAATCTGTCTTGCTAGCTTGATGGATATTCACTAAAAGTCTCTGGTGAAGAATCGATAAAACAACTTCCATGAAGATGAGCAGTGGTGGTGCACATGAGGAGGACTTTTCCTGGGCCACCTTTACTAATGTGCTTGTATTGCCTTGTTATTGACTGATTTCTCTCATGCTTCTCTGTGGCATCTTTTTGCCATGGAGGATGTTGCCATAAACCAGAGTCACACTTAGTGCTGCTAGAATGTTTCTGGACTTCTTGGCACAAAAAGGGTTAGTGATTGTAACTACCAAACTTCAGCATAAAGAGGGTTAGGAATCAAAGCTATGAAAATATGATTTAAAAACCCTTTTAAATGAATTTTTGTTATGAGTCTTCAACTTCTGAGTTTGGCTTTGATTTTGTTGAGAATGTATGTGAGAGCAAGAGAAAGAGAGCGACTATAGAGAAAAAGCTTAAATCAAAACAGTATTGTAAAAAAATAGCTGTTTCCTATCAGCCTTAAACAAATAATCTTTCAGCAATTATTCCTGTAACATGTTCATGTCCTGTTGATCTCTGCTTCTTTTAACTAAGGAATCAGGAAAGGGAAACTGCAGTAAAGTTAAAATTGGTCAAGCCTCAGAAGATACATAGAATGGCTCACAGGTGAGAGGTAGATTTTGGAAAGCTGGAGCCCTTTCTGTTCAGCAGCTGCTCTTTCATTTGAGTGCTGAGGAAAACTGGATGCTTGCCCAGCTCACAGCCATTTCTTGCAAGTTACCACAGCATCCTACTGAAGAATCTTGACCTCCTGTTAATTTAATTGAATTATTATGACTGGTGCTGCTAATCAGTTTCCCATTTTATTTCAGCTTCATATGATTCTCCACAGCATATGGTCTGTTCTTTCATGTCAAAAGCAAAAAAAACTCTTGAGGAAGAAAAGAAAAGGAGTGAAGGAAACAGTTGCTTAGCTTTCTGTGAAAATATGGCAAGTAAACATGAAGAGTTGACTGTGCCTGTCCTGCTAATACTAGTTTTGGGCATCACCTCACAATCATCTTGTTCTCATTTGTGCCTCCCATGTCCGTACCTTTGCTTGTTGGGCTTGAAACGCAATAGGAAGCTGGTGAGAGGAGAATATCTCAGTTTAAGCTCCTTCTGTAATAATGTGCAGAGCAGTTGCCTGGCTGTGGGCTCCATCTTCTGCTTTCTGCAGAGTTCTCTTTCTTGTCCCATTTGCCTGCTTGTCTATTGTGTGCAGACTGACATGTCTTGATTCTGTCAATGCTTCTTACATGCTTCTAGCTCTGTGTGGGTGAGCAGAAACAACCATTGCTCTAATTGTCTCATCTAAATTTGTGCTTGCTTAAGTAGGGAAAGTAGGTTAAGTACTTCTGCTGACCACAGCTTTGTTAATGCACTCCGAATGAGCCAATGCATCAGATAAGGCTTTGGGCTGGTTAGACCATTAGAAGGGAAAACCTGCAAGTATTACCCCTGGTGCTGAGGAAGTAGCCAGTGCAAATCTGGAAATAGTTGCCTTATTGTACTGCAAAACCAACTTCTTTGTGTTGGTTGGGTTTTGGGGATTTTTGAATATTTTTCCTGGCTTTTGGGTGTCATTCTCTGGAGTTACACTGTCTTAGTAAAGCGAGTTATACTGTCTTAGTTAAGCGTGCCCTCAGCTGCAGCCCAGTGAGTTCACCTGGGCAGTATCCAAAAAGGAAATTAGGGTTTTCATGGCGACTGCTTTCTAGGTTTCCTTTGAGGTTGTTACATCTCAAGCCTGCCTTGTTGCTTTACCTTATCCTTCTGTTACCTTTGCTTCCTTATGCCAATAGCGATGCTTTCCCAGGTGGGTGACTGTTTTTCTGGGCATTTTTTGCTGTTAGGTTGTCCCTGTAGTGCTTTGGGGACTGAGAAGGGAATAGACCAACAATTGAGTTGCTGCAGACTCCTCTGTGGTGGGAGGTTCCCTCCCTCCCTTCTGTGGTAAGCCTGCTAAATTCTTGACTAAATGGTGGCAGCTTAAAACACTCAAACACAGTCTGCTACACACAGAAAAAGTTACTATCTACATTTGTAGATAGCCCCTTGAAAATCCTGAGTCAGGTTGGGGACCGGTGACACACAAACTATTGTTGTTTGTCCCCATAGAAACCCCGTGTTGAAAGGTAAGATAC